GGATCACATCGTGGTTCTGCGGATCACCCATCTCTCCTTCTTCTTCTTCTTCTTCTCCTAACTGCAGCTGTGTTAGCGCCTCCTCCGCAGCCAGTCGCGCCTTTAGAGCCCGCTTGAAGTTCCTGCAAGTTCGTTCAAGCTCCTGGTCTAATGGTAGTAGATCTCTCGACTGGCTACGGGTCATGCACTACCTGCACACAATCAGCAGAAGCAACCCGTGAAGGCACACAGGTGGAAGAAATAAAATGCAGTAAATAAAAGCTAGAGTAACAAATTCTCACGTTTCCCCAATAATCTAGAGGGTTCCCCGGCAACGGCGCCAAAAACTTGACACGCCAAAACACAACACCAAACTGCGACCAAGTATAATCGCAGTCCAGGAATGCAGTAACAGGCAAGTTTAATTATCAACCCGGGGTCTAGATCTACTGCTTACTCCGTGATTCTCTATTATCTAGCAAACTAGTTCGAGTGATTGTTGTGAAAAGTAAAAACAACAAGAAAGCAGTAAATTGTTCGGTTTTCTAAAGCAGGCAAGAGTCACTCGGGATTGAGTCCCCCTAGCCCCTTAGTTAGGTTCAATTGTAATTCCCTGGGTTGATTTACTGTTGATTAGACTGCGGAAGATCCGACAGTAGCTTGGAATCTCTTAAGCTGACCAAGCCCTCTCAGTCTAACTACCCGGCAGACGACTAGTCTTCACCGGGATAGAAAGCTGAGGCTATGAACACAGAACTCCACTACTGGCGCCAAGAACACCAGTACAAAGCAGTAAACTGGCTAACTCTCGTATAGCCAACCTCCTACTAACGAATGAAGAGGCTCTAACAACCTAATCAGATTCTATCTATCTCAGGTTGCAGCAGAAATTGAGAAAAGCTGATCAGACTCAAATCAGTTCATTAAACATGCGTCATTCGATTAAAATCAAACAGTAATATCATCCCAAGTCATTACAATCAAATCCCTAACACAAGGAACTAGGGTTCTTCATACCCAAGTGAGAGAAGGGTTCTACTCCATAGAGAGAGAAGAGAAAACAAGAATCGGATTAGTCATACTCATAACGATGAGGATAATCTGCTCCGGGACGATGATTTCCACTCCTATGACGATCTCCAAGCTCGATTCGATGAAATCCAGCTCTAAGACAGCTTCTAGGATGTGTTCTTCGCACTTTCTCTCTCTAAGGCTCTGTTTTTGCTCTGAAAACCCGATTCTCTCACTTTTGGCTCGGAATAGGCTCTAAAACCAGGAATTCCCGACTCGCACGGCCAGGGTGCACGGCCGTGCAGATCACCCACTTGGCCGTGCACTCCAAAACGCGGCGTATCAATTAGTTCGACCTCAGGCTTCTCGCACGGCCAGGGTGCACGGCCGTGCAATCTTCAGGGTCTGCCCGTGCATGGCCTCGGCATAAAGCGCACGGCCATCTTGCTCACGTGCACGGCCGTGCAGCCTCCCTGGTCTGCCCGTGCAGCTCCCCAAAAACCTCGCCATTCGTCCGTTCTTCGTCCAAACGACCCCAGACTCGCTCCTAAGCCTTCATTCACGTACTAGGACCTGAAATATCACAAACAAGCACAACCTAGCGTGAAATCGGCCTAAAACACGAGAATCAACACCTCAAACGGTGTAAGAATGGGGGTAAAAACATGTGTAAATGACGGTCTATCAGACATGTATTATGATAAATATAGTTTTTTTGGCTTAACAATAATAAAGGAGTAATGTATAATGAAAACGAACAAAATCCACAGATTTCTTCTGTTTTTTTTTTGTCTAAAGTTGATATATTACTTAATTTTTTTGAGCTAATAATTATGGCTATAACAATATTATTGAGTATATATATATAGTGATAACCCATAGGTACACTAAAATTTTATCTCATATCTTCTCAAACTTTATATGTATTGTTCATGTATGCCTCATTTAAATGTATTATATCTCTATAATTGCAGCAATGTTTCCAAAGCATTTGTCATCTTCTGTCTCATCTGTTCCACTTCTCACGGGAACTAACTTCTCAGAATGGAAAGAGAATGTTGAATTTACCTTGGGAGTACTTTATTTGGATATGGCTCTTACCATTGACAAGCCACCTTCTATTACCAATACAAATACAGATGATGAAAAACTCTCTTTAAAGCTTGGGAGAAGTCTGACAGATCGAGTGTTATGTTTTTACGTATGACAATTGCTAGCAACATCAAAATATCCCTACCCGTTCCAACAACTGCTAAAGAATACTTAAAAGCAATAGAAGAACGATTTAAGACTACAGACACATCCCTTACAGGGAAACTTATGTCAGATCTTACAACTATGACGTTGGATGATTCATTTCTCGTTCAATTTATTCTAAATTCATTACCTCCTCAGTATGGACCTTTCCAAATTCATTACAATGCCATTAAGGAGAAGTGGACAGTAAATGAATTGGCAAGTAAATTGGTCCAAGAGGAGAGTAGGTTGAAACAACAAGGTATTAAGGTTGCACATCTTATCCAAGGAGCTGGATCTAAAGCTAGGAACATGCACAACTTAAGCCATAAAAGAGCTCTCGCCAATAGATGCGAGTTGTGCAGAAACGATGAGGAATCTGTGAACCACCTTTTGTGGACTGCCCTTTTGTTCGTGATGTCTGGGTTGCTGTTCGAAGAGCTTGTGATTCTGTGATCCCGCTGATTGGTGATATTTTCATTGCCATTCAGAGTTGCCCAGCCAATGATCCCGCTAATATCGACTCCTGGATCACGTTTTGCGCTCTTCACTCTGTTTGCTGGCAAGTTTGACTTGAACGTAATCAACGCGTCTTCAATAACATCAATGTGCTATCAGTGGTGGTGGCTCGTAAGACCTGAAAATTGGCTTTGGATTGGGTTGTTGTGCACAATAAGGTCGACAAAAGCTGCAATAGACAGTGGCTCGGTGAGAAATTTTGAAGGATCTGATCCCGCTGGTTTTCTGGCGTTGGCTGTCCTCTTTGTTAGCTCCATCGTTCTTGACTGCGCTATATTTGGCCTCACTTGTTTGGTGTCTTCGAGCGAGATTGGAGGATTCGTGTTGCTGGTTTTCTTTTTCCTTTCTTTTGTTTTTCTCTTTCTCCTGTTTTGTTCGGTTGTTTTTTTTTTTGTTTTTATTGCTTCTTGTGCGGCTTCCTGTTGCTACAGACATCCTCCCCTCACTCCTGGTGAAGCTGGTCTGTCTTGGCTTGTATTGAACCTCCTTGGGTTTTTTCTCCTTAATGCATTGTCACCATTATAATAATAAAAAACTGGTAGGGATTCCTATTATCCTAGATTTTGGTTGTAGCACCACATGTGTGGAGCCAAACAACGGGTTTCTAATATTGAGTTTCTTATATTGACGTTACCTTCTCTTGCGCTGTCAAACTAGGAAAAAGGAATCATAAGGATAGAGGCTAGTAGAAGAGTGATGATATTAAATTAATTTATAGTGCTCTCCTATAGTTAGCAACAAATTCTACTAAAACATGGATTATTCTGGTTTGAATTTCTTTATATCCCCGTTGTTTTTTTTAGCTTCAAATAATGACATCATGTAGGAAAAGTGCATGAGCGTTAGGACTATACGGAAGACGAATTCAACAACAATTGATGGAGTTATGACGTTTGCCTCCAATTAAAACCAGAGGGGTTCCCAAAACTGGCGAGTTTGAACAACCACTCTTCTTAGCGCAAAGTTTCTCACTGAGCAAAAATGTCATTCCCCTATAGGAACACAAATGTTACTTGCTTATGTGATTGTCTTTGCTTTTTTGAATTGAGTTCAGAATGTTGGTGGAACTTAAACCAAAAATGAATAATTGAAATATTTATTGCATTTTGTGTGAAGTGCAACTTGATGACTCATGGAAATACGAACCGGAGAGTTTCTTCTCTGGATATTTCTTACACGACTTTTGAGCATATCAAAAAGAGCTTTGGTGATTCAAGAAGTGTTTTACATTCCAGGTTACAAACTAATTTTCTTAATATAGGGAAAATGTAGGATAAAATTCTCGCAATTTCGATCGATCATGACATTGAATATCTACAACTAACTAAAGCTGGAGAGAATAATACTCAAGAAGAAGAAGAAGAAGAAGAGGCAACTCCCATGAAACCTATAACAACAATTACTCTAGTTGAACAAACGGCTAATGTGCAGGCTCAAGATGCAAACTCGAGATCCCCAAATGAGCAATCATGAAACAGGAAATCCAAAATCCGAACGAAGAGCAACAACTCAATTGAAGCGAAAATCGGAAAATCACATCAACCGATAAAGAAAAAGCAAGACCCAAAAGAGTGAAGAAAAATCATGCACCTAGAACAAAGAAAAGAGGAGTGTGAGCATGCATGAAGAAGGAGAAATTATATTTGGGCTATCGTGTCAAAAATCATAATCCACAATTCTCCGTATCTATCCACACCTCTAGAAGAGGCCACAAGAAGCAAATTGCAAGGAAGCTCTCATCTCCCAACTACCTACATTATTGAAGCTCAAATAATATAAATAAAACTAGCCATAAACTAAACCTACCAAGCTAATAATGAATCAACCACCGCCAGCAAACTTGGAGAATCCCAAACCACATGATAAACCAAACACCACCAAAATAATAATTATATTTCCCAATGGAAGTAGGTTCTATGAGTGTATAAATATGGAAGCCTCATTTGAGGAATATTAGAGAGAGCTAGGGAGCATAAGCTCCTCTCAAGGGTTAAGCTTGCCTAATCCGTTAGGGGAAAATGTGGGCAGTGTTTGTGAGGGTAGAAGTAGAACAATCGAGAGCCGCAGCTCAAATGTAAAAGACAACAATTTCCTAGTTGTGTGAGATATTAGAGTGAAAGAATTTCCTATAGTTTTGATCCATCTCCCCATATTTCCTCTGTGTCCCAACAAATTTGGTATCAGAGCCGATACTACTTTCCTATCTTTCTAAACTAGCCTCATATATCCTACAAAAAAAAATCCAAAAATCATGACAGCAGTCCAGGCGAACACAATGTTCGTAAATATCCCCAGTCAGATCACGATCTTTGAAGGTGAATTCTATAAGTACCTGAGTGAAGAAATGAAGACAATCTTCATCGCTCAAGACTTGTGGGATCTCTTCCAAGAAGCATATGAGGAGGTCATGACGAAGCAAGACTCTGGCAAAATGCCAGAAGGAGAGGATGAACTACCAAGCAGGTTCAAGACCGTAGAGGAAAATCCAATGGTAACAACTCATACTGCATTATTAGTCAAAAGACGGGACGTACAAAAAAATATTGCAGGCTCAAATGCAGGAATTGCAGGAATCCAAATCACTCCCCAAATGGATTGTTAGTTCCAGAAGAAGCAAGAAGATGAGTAAAAAGAAGAAGTAGTAAAATCCACTCAAGGTGAAGATATCAAGCAGTCACTCATAAGAAGTTCAAGAAGTCCAAGACACAACTACGAATTGCGGATTAAGAGGGGGTGTCAAAAATCACAATCCACAATTCTCCATATATATCCACACCTCTCTAGAAGAGGCCACGAGAAGCAAATTGCAAGGAAGCTCTCATCTCCCAACTACCTACATTATTGAAGCTAAACTAATAGAAATAAAACTAGCCATAAACTAAACCTACCAAGCTAATAATGAAGCAACCACCGCCAGCAAACTTGGAGAACCCCAAACCACATGATAAACCAAAAACCACCAAAATAATCATTATATTTCCCAATGGAACTAGGTTATGTGAGTGTATAAATATGGAAGCCTCATTTGAGGCATAGTAGAGAGCTAGAAAGCATAAGCTCCTCTCAAGGGTTAAGGCAATAAACTTGCCTAATCCATTATGGGAAAATGTGGGCAGTGTTTGTGAGGGTAGAAGTAGAACAATCAAGAGCAGCAACTCTAATGTAAAAGGCAACAATTGCCTAGTTGTGTGAGATATTAGAGTGAAAGAATTTCCTCTATTTTCGATCCAACTCACCATATTTCCGCTGTGCCCCAACATATCGCTGGTCACCAAAATGTGCTGGTGGCGGCCTCTCGAATGTGACTCTGAAAAGTAGAGAGAAGGAAGAGGTTTTTGAAAGGTAAGAAGAGTTAGAGATGTTTAAATGGTTATCAACTTACCATGATAATTACCCAATCAATTAAGTATAAACTTCATTAAACATGAAATTCAATATTATGATCAAACCGACCAAACTAATACAACAATTAAATTAACCAAACTAAAATTAATTAATTTGATTAAATGGTTAACCATAATTTATATAATGAATAAAATATAACGCTCAACACATAGTTAACCCTTAACATAGATACATGAAACTAATACAATTATCTTACAATAATGTCAATGGTATGAGGTTAATGAATTGAGTCTCTGTGTGAGTTGTCTTAGTCTTTAGCAATTATCTTAGGACGAAAAAACTTTTTCATTTCACGTTTTTCATCCAATATAATGTATGTGGTTTATCTAAATTACGCGTCCATATGCTATTGCCTACACTCTACAATAGCAAACATAGTATAGGAATAATAATGAGCTTTATATTTGTGGGTTTGAACGATTGAATCTTGAGTGGTTATGCAAAGTATTAAGTATGAGTATATAATATATTAGATATATGACTTATTGCTTACACCATGTTTGGCAACAAGTGGATGCAAATTCGAGGGGTACAAGTTAAGGAGTAAATTGCAGGAGGGTGCAAATTGGTGGGGGTGTAAGTGGAGTGTAAATTGTTCTTTGGATAAACAAGTAGGGGTACACAAATAGAGTGAAAAGTAAGTATTATATTATTATAAAATAGATTTATCAAATTTATAAAATATTATTACAAAATAATAATAATAAAATAATTAATATTAATTAATATACTTTAATAAATATAATTATTATATAATAATGCTAAAATAATAATTATTCTAACAACTGTAATAATCATTGGTCTAGCGACCTCGAAGGTCGAAGCCCAACTCGTAACTGGTCATGCTACAAGGTTCTCGTGTCTAATTTAACTTTTAATTGAATATGGTTAAACTTAGTCAAACACGTTCCACAGACACTTCTTATCTCTAAATTTTAATGTAAATTCGAGTCAATCAAGAGATCTCTATTTAACTAAACGAACATTGATAAACTTGCTCTCGGAGTCAAACGGTCAACAATGAAGAATATCTATATTAATGATAATTATAATAAAATAAATTAACAATATTAATTATTATATAATTAAAAAATAATTAATAAAAATCTATAATTTCCCCACTTCCCTTGCACCCCAATTTGGGGGTAAACCGAATTAGTAATTCTGCACTTCCAGTTTGCATCCCCTACTGTTCCAAATTATCCAAACAGGTGAAAATGTGTTGGAAACTGTGTTTACCCCTCACATTTGCACCATCCTCCCATTTACCCGTTTTCCCATATTGTGGCGATGCAACGAAAACATTCTGGCAACTGGAGCCCCGGGAACCAGTTCAATGACTACCGTCGGGAGAAGAGAGTAGGAACTGACGCCGACGCATGATGGGGGAATCGGTTTAGGGTTTCGGTCACTGTGTCGAATTCAAAGGAGGATTTGAGGGTTCGTCCACTGCTGGGATGGGGGAAACTGACACCGGCGCACGACGAAGAAGAAGAAAACAAGGCGACTGCAAAGGAGGATCCGGGATAAGGGGGTCAAGGGGGGTAGTGTGCTCGACTCCATCTCTCCATGCTCTGATGAGTTCGATCGAAAATGGTTGAACCTAGAGTTTGGTTCTGAAATGGCCACTAACCCGATCAATTTTCCATTTTTTTCTGGATAAGTGGGCTAGGGTTTGGTTCTTGGTCGGGTTGGGTTCATGTATTGGGTTGAGTGTATAACATGGCAGGTTTAGTGACATGGTGGGCCGGGTTTGACCATTTCTGACCCAAAACGGTGCTGACTAGGCGCTCCCGTTAGCCACGTCAGCACATAGCGGACTCCATTAACAGAGTTGGACGAAGACTAACGGAGAGTGATTAAATATGACATGTTTTAGTAATTCGAGTGACCAAATTTGATATTAATATTTTCTAATAACTAAACATGACACAATTTAGTAATCATAGTGACCAAATGTGGCATTAATCCTAGTAGTGTCACATGCAATTATTACGGTTGCTTGTAGTGGAATTATTTGCAACTCATTTGTTGTCCCTTGTTATTGCCAATTTCCGCAACCCCATGTTCAGCCTGGCCAACTCATATGCTTACTAGCTTATTAACAGACAGCATGTATATGGGAATTCGAGATTTTCTAGATGATAATTCACACACGTCTCTATATACTATATAAATCATTTGTTTGTTTCGTAAGAGGAAGTGAACTAATTAAGCCATAATGTATAGGCCAAAAAGGTAAAGTGCCTGCAAGTTCCCTGTGTTAAGAGCATAAAGATTACTACAAATATATGCATAACTAATAACTAGAAAATTTGGTACGTCGAATGTACATTATGTGACACTATTTATATGATGATTTTTGGAGAGATATGCTACTATGTCATTGTAGTTCTCATAAATCAAACATATTTGTTTAAATAATGTTTGAATAGGTGTGAATCATACAAATAATCATCATTCTCATAAAAGTAAGAACACACCCAACCCCATCCACACATTTTTCCACCATAAACAACTTGATCCACACATCAATAAGCTTTTAGGATTCAAGATATTCAGTCAAACCCCAGCTACATAGATTCAAAAGATATGTCTGTCCCGCTAAATGTCCCCAAAACCATGCTTCCGAAGGCTCGGCTGGACAGAAGCCCAAATTCAGCAGACTTTGGATAGCCCACCTGTAAACACAAAAATAAGTAACTCACAAAATCATCCTCAAATTACTTCCCAAAACATAGCAAAAGCCCATCTTATAAAAAAGGGTTAATAGAATTTTCTACCCCTCTACTTTCACAAATTAACAAACGTACCTTTCTAATAATTTTTTGCACAAACGTACCATTATACTATTAGAACGTAACAAACATAATTTTCTGTCTAATTAGCCATTAAATGACAATTAAGTGGGCTGCTAAATTTCTAAACTACCTCGGCGGCGGCTCTCGGCTTCTTTTCGGTGACGGTTGTAGCAGGAAGGACTGTGCGCAAGGGTGTAGCCATCCATTTCTCCCATTGATTCCACAGCAGAGGGGCCAGCTTCCCGGCTTCTCCCACGATGTTTGGGACGCCAACTGTCGGTCGGATTAGTTGACTTATTTCCTTGTGCCCCTGAAATCCCACCATCGATAAGCCTCAGCGAACGTCGGCGGGAGGCCGCCTCCCGATCTATCTCCCTAACAACTCAAATAGACGGCAGCGGGTGAGACAACGAGGCAATCAGCAAGAGCACAGACGAGGAGGGACGACTTCCTCTGAGTCTTCTCCATCTGTCTGGTCAAGCAAACCCCCGCCCCTTCTCCCCAACCACAAAACCCCTCTTCCTATTTTTCTGAAGGTAATTATTGCGGGAACCTAATTTCTTTGTATCTCCTATTCTTTGTATCTCCTCATTGGCCCTGTTATAGATTATTTTATGCTCATATTCTTATTAGAATGGTATGGTTTATAGGTAATGCCATCCTGTTCTCAACAATCATCATTTAGTTGAGCCGGGAACCACAATGAGGACGTTGTTCTCTTGGTGTGGCATAAGAGTGATGTGGCTGCATTCATGGACGGTGGAGGGAAAATGAAAGGTGTGAAAGTGATTCGTGAAATGAATAATTTTCTTCTTGCTTGTAGTTGTAGCTGTCTTGTTTGTTGTATTATGCAGTTCTTGGATGTAGATTAAATTGTTTTGCATCTAGATTGTACGTTATACAAAAAATCAGTCTTTGTAGCAGAAACGTGTTATGAATGAATGTAAGAACACTTCTACTATGCTATATAGTATTGGTGCTTTAATTTACAACTTTAGGTTGTACCATAACAATAAATGTACAAGTTTAGGTTGTACCATAAATGAATTTGTATCATTATGTTATGTTATAACTTTACAACTTGAAGTTGTACCATCACATAAAGGTACAAGTTCAAGTTGTACCATAAAAGAATTTGCACAAAAAGTATATGTACAATTTGAAGTTGTACCATAACGTTAAAGGTATAATTTCAAGTTGTACCATAAAGATAAAAACCTATAGCATCAATGCTATATAGCATTGTAAAATTCCTCATGAATGTAAAGATATATGCTCTTGCACCAGATTATCAACAAATAGAACCGGCAACAAAGATTATCACCAAATAGAAAGTTTTATGAATGTGAAGATATATACTCTTAAGCCAGGAAACACATTTATCCATCAAAGAAATAATGCAACTTAAAACAATGAGACAAAATGATAAATGCAGTAAGTAACAGTCTATTGTGAAAAAATGATGTAGCATGCTGGTACACATATAGTCAAAAGGATGTGTCATGTGGATTGCACAAACAAGGTTCATTGTTCCTTCCACCATATCTGC